GTTGTCTTCAAGTGCCAGATGGGAAAGGAAGGGCCTCCTCCCCCAGGATTGGAGGAGGGAAGAGAAATAGCTTTAGGTTAGTGGTGTCTGTTTGACCACAGGAATGGGAACCCCTCAAGTGTTCTGGGGGGAAAGGGCCTGTGGTTACAGTTGTATCCAGCTCCAGACCCAGGAAACTGTAGGAAGCAGAGCTGGGCCTTGAGTGTCACAGATCCCACCCTCGATGGTGGAGCTTGCTTTGGTTTCCCATGTCCTCTCCATTTCCGTCCAGGGTCCAGTGTCATCCTGATGCACCTGCTCCCAGCCTTGAGGCACCTTGTAGGAAAGGCCTGCAGGAGCCCTCCCTCCCCAGGCCCACAGGGCTCCCTGGCAATCCAACTGTGGGCCCTGAGTCATGGTAGATGGGAAGGAGTTAATTCAACAGCTCTCCCAGGCAACTCATTTCCATGTCAGGGGGCCTGAGGTGGGGGTGGGGGTGCAGGACATAATGGTTCCCAGCCATTCCATGACCAAGGATTCTTTTCATTATTTATCCCCTTTCATCATCCCCACCTCCTGCTTTGAAAGGTTCTGTGTATCAGACAAACTGTATTTATTAAGAAGTGGTTTATTTGTTTTGCCACTTTGTGAATTAATTCATCAAAGCTGGCTGGAGCTGCAAGTTAGCACTCCTGATCAGCAGAGATAAGACCTGCTAGGGCGCTGGGCTGATGTAATTCTACCCCAGAGCAAAGAAACCTGCACTCGCAGTTGACCTGTACAGGTTTATGGCTCGAAAATACAGGATTTCAATTTGGATTTTTGAAAAACTGGACACAGTGAGGCTTTCCCAGATTCTGTCTGGTTTCAGGACGCTGGGCTGGGGACCGCTGGCTTAAGTCAAAGGAGAGGAAGTGGGTGTAGCGGAGTGGAATGTACACATCAGCCCGGACGTCTGAGACTCTGTCGGCTCCCTCATTCTATGGAAAACACCCTAGAGCCTCGCAGGGGACCCAACTGCGGTCCCCTGAGATCTGATTAGACAAGCAGAATCCCAGGCCCCACCCCAGACCTCCTGTGCCTGAATCTCCACTGTAACAAGGTCCCCAGTTTACTCTCGAGACACAGTGGCAACTGGAAAGAGATGGAGGGGATGGTAGGGGGAGATTTTTGGTCACTCTCACATCAGTCCATGCAGAGAACATCCTCTCCCACTTGCTTTCCTCACCCTGTGAACGACTAGTGAGAATGCAGGCCCTGCCTCTCTTTATGAGGGTGGTCTCCGTGCAGGGGAGAGGTATGGTTTGTAGAGCACGTGAGAGAATGGCCTTGACCAACCCTGTGTGGGAGCCTGGCCATGGTGGGGAGGCAGCTCAGAGACAGAGGAGGATGAGGATGTGGCAGGCACCAGGCAGCAGCAGGAACGAAGGCCACATTCCTGCTTCCCCCAGTTGGACATGGGTGTCACCACGCTGGCCACCACCAGAGACCTGGGAGCTGATGGAGCTGTGTTGGCCCAGGGGGACCTCAGGATGCCAAAGCTGCGGTGTGAAGCCAGGGCTGTCTTTGTGTCTGGGCAGGACAGCAGCCGCCTTCCAGATACAACTGCTGGGCTATTGTTTGACATGTTGTATTTTCACAGATTTTAAGATGCATATATGTTCCGTCTTTTAAGATCTCTGAAATAGGCATGCATTTTACGTTCAGTGAAACCGAGAAAGTCCTCCTAATTCACTCAGCCCTATAACTTCGTTGCTGTTTGTATCCTATTTTATAGATGAGAAAATAAGGCTTCAGAGTGGGAAGTAGCACGAGCAAGAGCAGGTAGCTAGTAGAGGGCTGCAGAGAGGGCTGCAGGTGAAGTTTGCCTGGCCTCTCCCTCGGGGGAGACTTAGAGCAGGAGCAGGCGGAGCCCCCTGAAGTGGGAAGCCAGCAAAGGCAGAGTTGAAGGGGGAGATGGAGACCCCTCTGAGGGCAAGGACGGGCAGGTGGGATGTCGGGGCTGCTAACCCTCGGTCCCGTGTTTCCCCATTGCAGACAAGGAGCTCCGGCACGCCCACGGTGGGGCCCCCGCTGGAGGGCCCGGAGCACCAGGGCCCCCTCACCTATTTCCCGTGGCCTCAGCCCCTTTCCACGCTGCCCACCTCCACCCTGCAGTACCAGCCTCCGGCCCCAGCCATGCCTGGGCCCCAGTTCGTCCAGCTCCCCATCTCCATCCCCGAGCCAGTCCTTCAGGACATGGAAGACCCCAGGAGAGCCGTCGGTTCCCTGACCATCGACAAGCTGCTTTTGGAGGAAGAGGATAGCGATGCCTATGCGCTCAACCACACTCTCTCCGTGGAAGGCTTTTAGGGCTGGCTCCACCTGACAGTCCTGTTCCCTGAAACTGGGATTTAAAAATGAGCCTGGAATTGAGCCCCAGGTTCACATCTGTATGGAGTAGCCATTTCATAACTACATCTTCTACCCCAAACTAGAATTGTAGACCTTCCTTCCTTCCTTCTCCCCTTCCCTCCCTCCCTCTTACCTTCCTTCCTTGTTCCCTTTCTCTTTCTTATTTCTTTTTCCAGTTCTGTTCCTTATAAGGATTTTAGAAATCATATTTTATGCCAAGTGCTGCCAAGCCTGTGGCCTGGGGGCTTTCATTTCTGTTTTGTTCCTCGGAGAAGGCCCCTTCTCTCCAGTGCCTGCTGAGCCATCTTAGGGCCAGTCACACCTTCTGTCATTTTGAGATGTATGGGATGGCCTGTGGGAAGACCAGCCCGGCCAGCACCTCCTGAGAGTGACAGCCAAGGGCAGACCCGATGCCAGAGTCCTTGAGCTGTCAGTCCCACAGTTGCTCCTTTGTTTGCTCTTCTCAGCATTGGCCAGATACATGGTCTAGGCAGCGAAATCTCAAGGCCTGGGGGTGATAGGTGGGGGATGGGGAGAGAGAGGAGGTTCCGGGTGGGTAGGGCAGGCCAGTGACAGCAGAGAGGGGCAGAGGAGGGGTGGGGACACGCTGAGTGTCTATGGTCGGAGAGAGGGTGTTGGGGGAAAGCTTGGGTTTTGTGGGGAGAGGAGGAAGGCTGAGGAATGATTTAGGTCCAGATTACTTGGTTATTAAGAACAATAAGCTTAAGAAAAACGTTGCTTTAATAGGTGGTTTTGCTGCTCTCCTTGAGGATACTTGCAGGGAAAGCTGAGCTGTTGTAAACAGGATGAAGGACGTGTTTGGCCATTTCTGTCCCACCTCCAGACCCTCTGCTGGTGCTGTGTGTGCCAAGACCCCCTGAAGCCTAATGGTGATGGGGTCCTTGCTTAGTGCTATTCATGTGGCTTCTCGAATGTCTTTAAAGCATCCATAAGCCACCATTCTGTGAAGCCCAGGCCTCCTCCATCCAAGCACCACCCTTCCTGGGAGCTTCCAGCAAGAAGTACTTGCTAGGTTTCATTTCAGTTTTTATTTCTTCGATGGAGAGATTCAGCTTTGCAGGGGACCGAGTGCAGTTGTCACCAGGGGTGCTTAGCTCCTGAGAGTGAATGTGTGCCTTGGGAACTGGCACATCCGTCTGCCAATGACACCATTGTCACCATGAAGCACACATTTCAGTTTGTAGAATCCATGTATATGTCATGGACTTCTCTGGGAAATGATGGTTTCTTTGCCAATTTTAAATAAAAAACTTTGTTTTGGATTTTTTTTCCTGCTTTGGGTTTATTTTAATCCAAATTTCAGTATCTGCCTAAAATCCCAGCACACATATTTTGACTTATTTTTATTCAGACTTAATTTTTAAATTTAAAAGCTTAAGACAGCATTTGAGATGATAATTTTTCATCTTTGTTGGTAGTGACGGTGAGTAGGCAAGGGAGTGGGGCGTGTCTCAGTCCCGTTAGTTATAAAGCCTGGTTTCCCATAAAAAACACTATGCAAGATTTTCCAGCTTACTGTTTGAGGATTAGAGAAGATGCAGAAGTAACCTCCAAAAAAGGAGTTGAAGTTGGCAAAACCTAGCAAAGAAATAAAGTACATTACATATTTGCTAAGATTTAAATGGTGTCTTTTTTGCTTTTGATCTTGAGGTCAAATGTCTAGGCTGTAGTAGTCTAGCTAGGCTTTTTCCTGGGTTTTTCTGCTAAAATGGAAACATTTTCAATAAAGATTTATAGAGACTTTTCGATGCTGAAGTGTTTTGTTTCTTATCATATTAATCCCCCTTGGCTTTCAGCCTCATGTCCGACAGTGTCATTAGAGGGAGGAGCTTACACTAGTCTTGTTGATTTTGCAAATTGATCTGTTGCAGAAGATAAAACCATCCCCACTGTGCCTACAGACTAGTTCTCCCAAGCAGAACATGCATGTGGCCAGTGGGCTTGGTCTCCAGGACAGCGGGAGATCTCAGTAGAGGAAGGAAATCCTTTTAACTAGGTTGCTCTTCCTGTTATTCATGCTACATGAGTAACTTCTCATGACGCTGGGTGTCCAGGGATGAGTTCTACCATTGGCATTTCCACAGCAGGCTCTGCAAATCTATCAGTCAGGACCCAGGAGCATGAGACGTCATGCAGGAGCCACAACCAAAGGAACCCATCTTGTAGGGCCAGGAGTCACAATGAAATGAAAATTCAAGAAGCCAGTCAATCCTCTTCCAGACTACTCCTTGGAGTGAGCAACAGTTTGGAGGGGGTTTCATTCTCCTGGTGATTTTCTGAGTTACCAAGGGCCTTTGCGCTCACTGCCTTCATTGTTAACATTTATTGGTGTAATTGCTTTTAAATTAGCCACATTATTCTTCTCTATGTCTTATTTCCAGATTTTGGGGGACAGGAGCACTTCCAGTTATTTAGCTCACTCTAGATTACCAGCACCATTATCCTTTTGGCTTATTCTCCGTGAAGATCATAACCTAGGAAAAAGAAGGGAGGAAACGGATTTTAGGTTATTTCTCCAGCTGTAATGAGGCTCAACAGAAAGGGAAGACCTACCAAAAATGCGTTTGCCTTACCTACTCTTTTCTGAGGTAACAGTATGAACAAGCCGATCTGCAATATGAAGAGAGTGGCCAGTGCAGTGTAGATTACTGCTTTCCAAGATTTTGATCTGTGAGGTTGTCCACTTCTGGCAAGAAACAGGGGAGCAAGGAGGAGACGAGCATGTGGTAAGATGAAGAAGCTAGACATCTAGAAAATAACAAACTCATATGACCAACTGGCTCAAATTCCCTGGACATCAGGCTGCTGCGCCCATCTTTGAGTGGAAGTTTGAAGACATGTTCTAAAGCTAAACATGAATTTCTTGAAATCAGAAGTCTTAGATAACTTATTTTGCATTACTTTACTTCATCTGAGTGTCAGGCTTGAGGCACTCAATAATTTCTTGTTGAGTTGAATTAACTTGAGAGATTCCCTATCCACTGCTTCTAAATATCGATGTACATGATTGCAAGTTGATTATAATACAGTCTCCTTTGTCAGACTTATAGACACATGATGCTTCTCAGATGCTTTTTTTCTGAATGCTTGGGTAGAAACATCCATAAGCTGCTGTCCTTAATCTATTTATGAGTTCTTCTTTGGCTATGGCTGTGGAAGGAGTTTCGCTCATTTATTCAACACATATTTAAAAAAATTTTTAATTTTATTATAAATCGACAATTTATAATTATATAGTAATAAATATGATATATAATAATATATAATAACTATAGTTATACAAATTTAATACAATATATTATGGGGTATAATTTATGTAGTTATGATTTATGAATACGATGTGGAATAATTAAATCAAACTAATTAACATATCCATCGCCTCAAATACTTATCCTTTTTGTGGTGGGAGCATTTGAAATTTACTCTTTTAGCGATTTTGAAATGCACAATACACTATGATTAGCTATATTCACCATGTTGTGCAATAGATATAAGAAACAAACCACCTATTCCTCCTGTGTGAGACTTTATATCCTTTGACCATCTCCCCACTCCCCACTTCCCCACCCCCAGCCCCATGTTGTTGCAAATGCTGGCCTTCTTTTTAAAAGACTGAATATTCCGTTGTGTATACACCACATTTTCTTTTTCCATTCAACTCTCGAGGGTCACTTAGAGTTGATTCCATAACTTTGCTATTGTGAATAGTGCTGCAATGAACATTGGAATGCAGACATCTCTTTGACAAACTGATTTAAAATCTTTTGGATAAGTACCCAGAAGTGGGATTGCTGGATCATATTGTAATTCTCTTTTTAGCTTTTGGAGGAACCTCCATTCAGTTTTCCATAATGGCTATATTAATTTACATCCCCACCTATAGTGTACAAGAGTTCCCTTTTCTCCACATCCTTGCCAACACTTGTTATCTTTTGTCTTTTTGATAATAGCCATTCCGACAGGTGTGAGATGATATCTCATTGTGGTTTTTATTTGCATTTCCCTAATGATTAGTGATATTGAGCATTTTTTCATATATCTGTTGGCCATCAACACATATTTTATTGCATGCTAACTGTGGGCTACTCAGGCATCGTGGATTATTGTTGACGTCTGCTTCGAAATAGTTTTCTAGCTCTTTTTAATATTAGTATCCATTCTTATATATGCATATTTAATATTTTTAAGTTGTATTCTTGAACTACTCTATGAATATAATATCCATTAGGAAACATTCACAATAATAGGAATTTTGAAAGATGAGGTAAATATAAAATAAATATTTTAACTAATTATTTCATTTATTAGCAGTTTAAAAATCCATTTGACCTCATTAACTATAAATAATATTTAGAAGGAGAATCTTTGTGATATAATGATTTGAAGATCTGGGTTTAACTTCAATTGATTTCAGTACTTTGTTTGAATGGATGTCATATCTGGAAAAGATACCACACAAAGATATTTGGATCCAAATAAAAATAGTATATCATTGGCTATGCTAAATAAATCATAAAAATCATTAAAACATTCCTTCCATAAATTATACAAGGTGTTATTTTTAAATGTGTTTAGTAATTTTCCATCTTATCTGATGTCAACTGGTCTTACAAACTCATTGTTGCCTTTTTATATTTTTAGTCTCTTAAGTTAAAACCACCCAAAGTCTTTCTTTGGAAACATTTTAAATAATCTAAAAAATTCTGCTTCCACTTTTTTTCTAAAAGACTGATGATATGAGAGTTTTTATGGGTGACAACCACCTATATTGTTGGCAACAATACCACATGATGGAAACTTTCCTAAATATCTACTAAACTTCTACTTTCTAAGTGTTCTTCCCATTGCATGAATTCAGTGATGGGAGGGTGACTTTTCACTTTACTTTTTAAATATGGAAACACGTAAAGTGACATGTGCAAAGAATAAATAAAATTGAAAAATATAAACATTAGTGCAAAAAAACCCCAACAAAATAAAATGTCTTCTTTATCTTGATGGGCTGGATTAAATGCAAATTGTGTTTATTATTTAAAAAAATATCTGCAAGTAGCATATTTTGGACAGTCAACTTATCAACCAAAAAAGATCAGCAAACTTAGCATG